CAAAAAATGTTTCCTTGATGTAAGAGGATTTAGAATTAAGCTCCGTTATTTAACTTATAATGGACAGGAAAAGCAATTTCGTCATATAAAAATAATAGGATCATAATGGCAGATATTTTCCACCGTCACTTTTTGTTTCCTCTCCTTCTCTCCTTCTCCGTTTTTCTGATATAAATCTATTCTTATATATATGAATAGCGTAATGACAACGTATTGACTCGCAAGCTAAAGGTTGCGACATAATTTCGTGATAAATAAGAATACGTTCTGATTAGCGAGGATAAAGGAAATTATATAAATCTCTCTTATGTAAATATACATTCAATTCTATTATTTGTGCCGAATAAAATGGGGATGCGTAAAAACATCTGAAATATCGAAATAAAAGGTTACGAACTCCTAAACACGTGACATACCATTATGTCTATCTACCTTCTATTTCTATATGCGGTTAAAGGGCAAAATCGCCTACGAGAGTCCATAGGGCAAAAGGATAGTAAAAGGGTACTAAAACGCAGAATTCTAAGAACTTAGTGGTTCAAAGAGGGCTTTTGGTCGGAAGGGAAAGCAAAATAGCCTCTGTTGGTTTTTGAGACAATGAATACGGGAAGTTGTTTTTGGGAACCTGCCTTAAATATCTATAGTTCTAATGGAAAGCACATATACTCTGGAACTTTTAAAACGTACTTTCAGTATATTAAATCTAAATCCGTTCATTCATTTTTTTCCGTATTTAAAGTAATTGAAAAAAACCTTTTGTAATAACAATAACGTTTCAATATATAATATTAAAACAAAAACTGTGTAAATAAAGAATTTACATATGTAACGATGTAGAGCACTTTCGAAATATAAATTATTGCTGCATGAATCTCTGATTACTCGGCGCTATGTATGTAGTATTTTTTTATAGGACAGTCTGGGTCACCTGTTATCGCGCCGCTAGAAACTGCTTTCCCCGTTGAAAAGAAAATTTAAGAACTTGCAAGAGAAGAGAGACTTAACGTCGCTTAACTTACGCTTTACTCACCCATTGTCTTGTCCCCCCTTGCTTATAAAAAAAATCTTTAATACTCCACATTTCGCTCATTTTCATCTGACGTGCGTTAACGGGAATCGTTTATCGGCCGAGGATAGATAAGAATGACGGAATCTACACTACGGATAGCTGTCAGTAGACTGTTGTAATTATTCAAGCGTTGTAATTCAGACCAATAAATATAATTCTAGCTCGAGATTAACGATAAGCGAGTAATTGCAGGAACGAAGTACTTTTAACCGTTGAAACGAGACAATGCTAAATTTCAAGACATCAGGAAAAGCATAATCCTTTAGATTATTTTCGTTATTCTATTCACAAAATCCAAAAATAGTTTGCCATTAATTAAATTCTATAATATTGATTTTTCAATCAATAACGCAATTTATTTAATATAATATTCTCGCATATCAAATCATGTTATTTAATATTTATTTATTTTTAGTTATCGTATACCTTTTTATATATATTCTTTAGAACTCGAAAAATATTATCACGAATCTTTTCAATTAAAAGAGAAAAAAAAAGCAACGATGATATTATAAAGTTGCATGAAAAAAATTAATCGTGAATACTCACGATCGCTCTTATAAGCTGCTTTCGCGTACAAGTATCGAGAGCTCTTCTCGGAAGCATGCTCATTATTTAAGACGCGATGATACGCATCGCGAAAATGTCATCGCCAATTCGAGTCGTATCGCTGTTGTCGTCGTCGTCGTCGTCGTCGTCGTCGTCACATCCCCGTGCTTGGTCGAAGATCAGTGATTTCTCGCGTGCGCGAGGGTGGCAAATCGAATCTCGGAGGACGTTCGCGCGATCAGAAGAAGATGGAAAAGCGAGGAAAAGTCGAAGGGCCGGGTTCGCCCGAGGGTATCGAGAGGTGAAGAGGTATAGAGAAAGCCAGCCGGTGAGAGAACGAAAGAGGATCGAAGGGCTGGATGTGGGTTTGGGCGACGTGCGAGCGTACAGTGGGATCCAGAGGGGTAGGGCAGGGTGGATCGTCGGAAGGGTGACGAACGGGGAGGGTTGAATCGGCGCTTGCGTGGTACCCGGTCCTATCTACTTGTCAGCCAAGCAAAGCTGCCACCACCCCGGCGCTTTGCCTCTCTCTCGCTCGCGACGCCGCGCTACTCGATAACAAACTCTACAGTACCAGTACTGTCACGGTACTCCGGACCACCGGATCGCCCACTGTCCGTCGCCGATCACCGGTGGCACATCGGTAACGCAAACGAACGTAACAAAAAAAGGATCGAGATCCACGCGACGCTCTTACAAACTCGCAGCTACGCGCACGACAAATTTGGGACTTACATGCTTACGTGTAATTTTCTCCTGGTTAATTTCGCGAGAGGACGTGTGCACTGGAAGACCTCTCTCTTCCGACTCTCGCGTTTCCTTATTTCTCCCCCCCCCTCCCCTTCCCCTCTTCTTCCCTCTCCCTCCCCCCTCGGGAAGAATCCTCATGCGATACGTCTTCGATCGTAGCGTGCGTCAAGATGCGCGTTGATTGATCGCGATCGCGAGGACTGACCGAGGCAACTTCAAAGTTTTATTCTTCCTCTTTCAAACTTCTGCTCGTTCGTGCTTCCAATTTAAAACTTGCGTTTGCGATCCACTAAATCTATATTTGTTTTCAAAAGTTTATAAGATCAATTAAAAAAGTTTAGTCGTAATACGTATGTATACCTAATTTGCGAAATACTACTACAGATTTAAAAATTGCATCTTATTTGCATCTTACTCAAGTAGGTAAATGGAACTTTCAAACATGAATGTGGATTCAGTGGATACAGGCGTTATTTGGCAGATCCAGGACTGAATTTCCTACGGGCTAGTTTCACCAACGTCGATTAACGCAAACCGTGATTGACTGAGGGTTGGCTGTACTAACGTCGCTTAGGGTTCTGACATCGGTTAAGTCAATTTTCTCTCTCCCTGTTCATATCGTAGGTAGAACTATGATCTACAAAGAGATAGCCAATCGCTGAGCCAGATTTGCTCGCCCTACATGATTGATGCAATTCGGCTCAACTTCGTTCTCCATCTACCTTACAAAGAGAATGAATGACGTGATGATTAGCATAATCAGGGAATATTTCCAGAGAATATTCCCATCGACAACACGTCAAATTATATTTCGTATTACAATTGACACAATCAGCAAAAAAGAGGATTAATTAAACTACGGTTAGCGTTAATCAACAAGCCTGTGAAACTCGCTTTTTGAAACTTGGCTGTCTTCCGCCTCGAAATAAACGGTCGGAATAGACAGCGGAATCGTCCGTCCACTTTCCCGTTCTCTTTTGTACGCCGTTGGTTATGGTGTATAACTTGTTGCTCGCAGGCAAACAAACGTGCAGTGACCGCGGATTGCAATTTTACATTTTCTATCCGATCATCGATGGCAGATTGCCATGCTCGCTTTCGGAGAAACCTTTTTTCTATAGTTCCCCGTCTCCGTTCGATACAGCAATAAAAATGAAGACCCGTCGACACACGTCTGTTATTCAGAAGTGATAGAGGAGGAGAGATAAAAACGAGGCAAAGAGAAAGAAAAGAAAGGATAGAACAGAAATATCGTAAAGGATATACGGGATCCCGATCGTATCCTACCGTCGGCCAACCTTCCTCGTTATTTGCGGCTTAGGATGGCTGTGGAGCAAACATAGCCGTCGCGACCATTCTCCGATATTTGCCACCGCGATTATCCCCCTTTCTCTCACAAGATCATGGATACTAGCCGCGACGATCTCCCTCGATCTCCGAGCCGTGAACTCGATTGCTAGCCGATTATCGCCGCCGGCGGAACAGAGGTATCAGACAAATTGAAAAATTCGGAACCATATCCCTCGAGTCTTGAAATCTCGATCTATTCCTTCGTGAGAGAATTCGAATCGACTACGGGATATTATCCACTGATTGAGATTATACCGCGGAAATGAAGTTCCTCTCGGTTTAGGATAATTTCCAACTCAGACGATCTCAATGTTGATCACCCTTCGAGAGATCGACATCAAAGGTGCTTCGTAATGAAGAGATCTACTAGAATATGACAGAAAGAAAGAGAGAGAGAGAGAGAGAGAGAGAGAGAGAGAGAGAGAGAGAGAGAGAGTGTGTGTGTGTGTGTGTGTGTGTGTGCGCGCGTTGCATAAACATTAGTTAAAAATTATCGATTCAATTAATATGCTGCCACTTTCCAAAAATAGAATTAAAAAATAGGAAGGATCGCTTAATTCTTCGCTAAATTTTATTAAGTTCAATTATTCTTAATAGATCAATCTACATCCTCTATGACAAAATAACGTCTCGATAAAGATTTACATTTTGCAGCAGGCTTCATTCGCATGTTCTGGTGCTTATGTTCGTTTTGTGCCTCCTTTCTCGCGTACTGCAGGAAAAATTCGATTTCGTAGGATGGTGCAGTGGGATGACAAATTGAATTTTTCTCAGTTGTCCTCTACCGATCCCAAAGGAGCTCACGAAGTCCGTCCTCACGAAGGGTTTTATTTATTAAAAAAGGGCCGAGTCTCGTGCTAAGGCCCGCGCATCTCACTGTCGAGACTGACACTCGATTTCAGGAAGCGAGCAGCAAGCGCGATAAATTGACCGAGTAAACAAGACGAAAGCTCTTTGCGGTTTTCCCATCGCCATCCCTCGGGAGAAAGTGAGAATTAACTAATTACTGTGTTAAATGTAACTGGAATTGTACTTTTCAATACATTCTTATTGATAAAAAGCGTGTGTCTCGTGTAAAATGTGAATTGCCACAGAGATTAAGTAGTTACGGATAGTATTGGTCTGACCATGACCGACTTTTTTCACTGTTTAAAATTCAGCCGTTGACTGGCCACGAATTTCTTAACGAAGTTTGACGTGGGAGAATTAAGTGGCTATCGATAATAACAAAATTTAATTAATACCTTCTCCTCATCGCATTTCTTTAAGATATTAAATGTTTGTTAGAATTTAAGTGATATCAGACCGAAATTGAGTAGACGTAGATAAGAACCTTCTTCAAAAATGTTTTTACGTGAATTTAAATTATTCAAGATTAAGTTATTCAAAGATTCTTATTCTTTTTAGTATCTTTATTAACAAATAAGATCTGAATAAGAATTTTTTTCCGTTGAGTTTCGATTGTTTTGTAAAATTGTGCTTCTACTTTCAAGGCGTTTCGCTAATAATAAATGCATCCTTTTTAATAGCGACTATGCAATAAAATTAAGAAAAATAAATATTCAGGCGTTCCTTGAAATATACCTCACTCTTAACTTTAACGGCAGCGCCGAGAACTTTTGTTAGGCTCTTCTTGTGTCTTGGCAAACTGCACGAGTTAAACAGTTACGAATTGCTTACACTCGACGGTACTATCCGTATTTCTCCCGCGTCCCAAATCCCGTCGTCGATTTGTAACGTTCTTTATTGCGAATGGATTTTGGGGAACAATAAAATCTCAAACTGTTACGCTCGCCACTGGGTGAAACTAATTTTTCTATCATTCAAAGCTCCGGCCATGAATTCCCTTTAAAGCCGCGCGCTCTGGAAAGCTATGAAAAAAAATTGAGTAGTTAAAGATTAAAGTTCATATATCGCTAATAGTTTTTGTCATTTTATAATTTTTATTTTATAGTTAAATTTTTAAAAGAGAAATATATATATATAATAATCATCATAATGTAAATATCAATT